TTCTCATCAAAGAATATTGTGTTATTTCTTTCCCAGTAATTATCAGAGTTCGGCAACCTCTCTGGCAGTGGCGATGGTTATAAAATGCAGCTGTGCTGAGTTAAAAACTAGAGGGTCCTGCTCTGGCCGATACGGATCTGACGCCTCCACATTCCTGAACAACTTGGCAGTTTGGGCAGTAAAAGGGCAACATTTCTAGGACCTATGAACACGCAGCAAGTTTCCTGGAGCCAACTGCTCAGCTGGTCTCTTCAAGGACAGCAGTGATACTGGCCCTTCTTGATCAACTAAGCTTATTTTCTTTCCACTTAAATAAAATAAGGTAGAAGCTCCAAAGGTTATCAGATTTTTAAAAAATGGTGTGTGTGGGTAAAGTTTGAAAGTCTGTCTCATTCAGCGAGATTCCTTCTTTTTCAGTTTCCAATCTCTTGGGGGGGCTTTCTTTGCAATAGAAGGAAAACCCCCAAAATACAGACTCATAAGAGGAACTACCAACCCAATTCCAATGTTTGGAGTTTCGTAAAATCTGGGAAGGTGGGAAAATCCAAGGGCACCCAAAATAATGCATCTTGGAATTCTGGTGAAACCTGCACTTTCACAGTGATAACCTGGAAAATGGCAATCTCTGGAATGTAATTTTCTCTGAAGAACCTTTGGGCTGGCAAGGATCAAACAATTCAATGCTGTAGGGGAGAAATAAAGAAGCACGAGAACAGAATCCCATTTCTAAGGGTGACTCATGAAATTGGCTCATAGGCTCTCCTAAGGGTGAATCAAACAATTAGCATGAATGTTTCTAGCAGGTGCCTAGCACATAGCAGGCGCTCAATAAATGTTTGTTGCATCTGAATCTAATCTGGGAGTGCCTCTCCCATTGGATTATAAACTCCCCAAGGGCAGGAACCATTTTATTACTTTTTTAAAACCTCTTTGGTACATACTTAAAAATCGTTGTAAATAGAATGACATTTCTGCCTCCCTTGAAGAGCTGAGGGAACTTCAGCTGGGACTGTATATTTATGGGGATTAGGCGTTTTTGAACTTCCACACCAGGTTAAATTCCACTCTCCATATTATAGTCTACTAGATGCCCGGTGCACAAAAATTTGTGCACTCGGCGGGGGGTGTCCCTCAGCCTGGCCTGTGCCCTCTCGCAGTCTGGGACCTCTAGGGGGATGACCACCTGCTGGCTTAGGCCCACTCCCCGGGGGTATTGGGCCTAAGCTGGCAGTCAGACATCCCTCTGGCAGCCTGGGAGCCCTCGGGGGATGTCCACTTGCCAGCAGGGAGCAGGCCTAAGCTGCAGTCAGACATCCTTAGCGCTGCTGAGGAGGCGGGAGAAGCTCCCACCACCACCGCTGTACTGGCAGTCATCAGCCTGGCTTGTGGCTGAGCAGAGCTCCCCCTGTGGGAGTGCACTGACCACCAGGGGGCAGCTCCTGCATTGAGCGTCTGCCCCCTGGTGGTCAGTGTGTGTCATAGTGACCAGTCATTCCCAGTGGTTCTGCTGTTAGGGTCAATTTGCATATTACCCTTTTATTATATAGGATAGAGGCCTGGTGCATGGGTGGGGGCCAGCTAGTTTGCCCTGAAGGATGTCCCAGATCAGGGTGGGAGTCCCGATGTGGTGCCTGGCCAGCCAGGGTGAGGGGCTGAGGGCCGTTTTCAGACTGGCCACACCCCCTTCAGGGTGGGGGTCCCCACTGGAGTGCCTGGCCAGTCTGGGTGAGGGGCTGAGGGCCGTTTTCAGGCTGGTCAAGCCCCCAGCGGGGATCCTCAACCCATGAGGATGTGGCCATCCTGGGTGAGGGGCTGATGGCTGTTTGCAGGCTGGCCACAGCCCCTTCAGTGTGGGGGTCCCCACTGGGGTGCCTGGCCAGCCTGGGTGAGGGGCTGATGGCTGTTTGTAGGCTGGCCACAGCCCCCAGCCACCCAAGCTCCCAGTGGAGGCTGGCTGGAAGCAGGTATCTGGGATTTATTTATCTTCTATAATTGAAACTTTGTTGCCTTGAGCGGAGGCCCCAGCTGGCCAGGGTAGGCGGGAAGCTTGGCTTCCTCCATCACCGGGGCAACCAAGCCTCCTGCTTGCTCCAGCTCTGTAGCTGCCGGCCACCATCTTGGTTGGGTTAATTTGCATATAGTCGCTCTGATTGGCTGGTGGGCGTGGCTTGGGGTGTAGCAGAGGTGTGGTCAATTTGCATGTTTCTCTTTTATTAGATTAGATTAACACAGTACATTTTCCTTTGTGCTTCATAATGCAGCTGTGATAAAACAATTGCTTGCCTAACTAGTTGTTTAAGGTCTGTCTCCTGCACTAGGAGAAAGCTCCGGGAAGGAGGTGCAACCCCCTTGTTCAATGCTACAGCCTTAGCGATTGACATAGTATCTAGGACAAAATAGGTATTCAATAAACATTGGTTGAATGAATAAATGAACGAATGAAGTAAAATGCTTAGCATCCCTCTGTCCCAGCCACTGGCCAATGAATGCCAGCAGTGTGCCTCTCATGCACTGAGACAACCAAACGTGCAGGAGGCAGCTAATCGGTGTTTCTCTCTCATCGATGTTTCTAACTCTCTATCCCTCTCCCTTCCTCTCTGTAAAAAATCAATAGAATATTAAAAAAAAAAAGAAAATAGGTATTCAATAAACATTGGTTGAATGAATAAATGAACGAATGAAGTAAAATGCGATATGTTTTTGTCTTTAAGAAACTCACAGTTCACAGCAATGTTTCTCAACATTATTTCCAGGACAGCTCCTTGTTCTGTAGGGGTCTAGGTACTGAGGTGTGCTTAGCATCCCTCTGTCCCAGCCACTGGCCAATGAATGCCAGCAGTGTGCCTCTCATGCACTGAGACAACCAAACATCCTCCCATATTTCCAATGCCCCTCAGATTCACAACCACTACATGGTGTTGGCTTGAATGAAAGTGACATCAAAAACAGCAAAAAGGGGATGGAGCCAGGAAATGATGAAGGCAAATGGGAAAAGGGGGTGTGGAAAAGAGAGAGAGGAAGCAGTCTGACAGGAAAAAAAAGCATGGTTTATTTTTATTTTTAAAAAATATATTTTTATAGATTTCAGAGAGGAAAAGAGAGGGGAAAGAGAATACAAATATCAATGATGAGAGAGAATCATTGATTGGCTGCTTCCTGCACGCTCCCTACTGGGGATCGAGCCAGCAACCCTGGCATGTGCCCTTGACCAGAATCGAACCCACGACCCTTCAGTCTGCAGGTCGATGCTCTATCCACTGAGCCAAACCAGCCAGGGCGAAAGCATGGTTTAGAACAGTGATGGCGAACCTTTTGAGCTAGGCGTGTCAGCATTTTGAAAAACCCTAACTTAATTCTGGTGCTGTGTCACATATAGAAATTTTTTGATATTTGCAACCATAGTAAAACAAAGACTTATATTTTTGATATTTATTTTATATATTTAAATGCATTTAACAAAGAAAAATCAACCAAAAAAAATGAGTTCGCGTGTCATAGGTTCGCCATCACTGGTTTAGAATGATGGTATTCATGAGCTCTCCAAGCCCTGGGACTCTCTTGTGTTCCCCTCGGCAACCAATGCCTGCCATCCTCAGGGAAGACAAATCAAAGCCTGGGAAGGGTTCTTGGATGCTCCTTATGGTTAGGGCTATGAAACTCTGGCTTTCTGTTTGATATTTAGGATTTAGTAAAATTTTTGTTTGAAGAAATAAAATTCTGAGGCAAAAAACACACACACACACGCACAAAAAAACAACAACCAACAATTTGTTGTTGTTGTTGTTGTTTGAGGCCAAAGGAGCTAAAAACCATGGTTTTAGAGTTAAGGATGATGGTGTCAACTGGGATGAGGAAAGGCCTTTAAACACATGGTAGGGGAATTAAGAGCCAAGAGGAAGTTTTGACAAAGGGGACACGGTGTGATAGAAATGAAAGCCTGGTGCAGCGCTGAGGAAGGGCGAGTGGAAGGGGACACATCCTGGGCACAGGACATGAAGGAGAGCGGAGAGGCTTTGTGAGCTGGTGTGAGGCGCGGACACTGAGGAACTGGTCTGAGGGACACCTCACTTTTGGAAAGTGCCCAGGGGACACATAAGACATGTAAGGTCCAACCCTCTCACCGAGACCCGCTAACCATCTGAGGTCAGCCAAGCCAGTGACTCAGAGCTGACATCCACAGCTGGCCGGCACCGGTTGCCGGGTGGAGAACAATTTCATTTCCAGCAGAAAAACATAAGCCTGTGCGTGGTTTCAGAACCGAGTGACAAGCCCTCTCTTCTTCAAAAGGTTCCCCTGAGGTTGGGGCTGTGGCATATGCTGCTGTGTGCCCCATGCCAATTAGGAGAGCTCCCTGAACAGAAGAGGGGCTCGGTCCTTTCTTTCGGAATCGATCTGATTAAACAGCTGAAGTCCTCAACTTCAGCTGCTGGGCTGCGCCTGGAGGAAGGTGGGTTTCGGCCAAGATGGGAGGAGAGAGCGCCTCACTGGCTGAATGGGGACCTCGAAGCGGTAATGAGCAGTGAGGTTCTCTTTAGTATGTCTTTACGTTAAAGAGCACAGGTTGGAGCATGGAGAAAGGATGTGCTGAATGAATGAATGAATGAATGAATGAATGAACGAACGAACGAATATATACAAGCACAGGCATAAGGTCTGTGGCTCTGACAGCCGCTGCCCTACTGCATTAGGAAGAACGGGCTGTGGTGGTCTGGCATCGAAGCAGAGCCGTTTGTCACTGAGCAAAGCTTGGTTAAGATGTGGACTCAGTTTTGAAGCCAACCACTAAAAATCTCCATATTTTTAACTCATGCAAAAGGGAAATGAAGGTACCTGGCTCAAAAACAAAATAGAAAAGAGACACACTGCTGTGTCACCCTTCCGAGTCCCTCCTCTGACCCTGGGTGAGGCCAGGACTCTCCAAAGCAGCCTCTCCTCTCCCCTGCCCAGGTGTGCGCCCGCCCCGGCCACACGCAGCAGGTGGGCACCGTGCTCTTACTCACGATTTGCGGAGGATCATCCTCATGTGGGCGTCGGGGCCCATCTGTGACAGCAGCAGCATGGTGTCCTGCAGCTCCTCATCACACTCCTTCTTCTCCTCCTCCGTCGGCAAAGGCGCATCCTCATGCTCATCATCCAGGAAGCGATAAAATAAATACTTGTCTTGGAAATGATGCTCCTGGTCCACTGTGGGAAGCATGGAGGCAAGTGTCAGCTGTCACACCTCTGCCTCCCGCCCCCACAGTGTCAGGCGAGACAGAGAGAGCCAAGTGGTAGCATAGGGTGAGACTCCTCAACCTTCTCCCTCCGCTGGCCTAGGGCTGTGCAGCTGGAAGGCGTGACCTCGGGCTGCAGTGAGGCGCCACAGGGCTCCCTCCCACCCGCCCACCTCCTGGGCCGCCCTAGGACTCTCCTAAGGCAACCTGCCAGCTTGTCGGAGATGAGCAACAATTGCTGTGTGGACATTTTCTAGCATGCGGGACCAGGTCCCACACGGGAAAATAATCAGCTGCCGGATCTTGCTCTAAACTGGTTTTTGAAAGTACAGACTTAAAAAACAAAACAAAAAAACTCCCCTAATTTGTCGGGATCAAAATTCATGTTTTTCTTTTGTACCGTTTATAAACTGTCTGCACTTCAAACTAGCAGAGTAAAATTGTTTGAACACAGGTGACTAGACCAAGCTTCTAGGTCACATACACCTAGAGGGATCTTACAGTGATTTCCTTCCAGTTATGATTTTTAAATGTGTTTTTCCCACCGCTTGTTCCTTCTAAACAAAAAGATTTCCATCTGGGAAGGACCAGGTCAGGGAGCCTCACCTATATGTCTTAAAATGCCTAAGACCCTTTTCAGGTTGGAGCATCAGGATTGTCAAAAGATAACAGGAAGCAGTAGATCACTGCTGCTTTAGCCCTTGGAGTGCCAACCAATATCCTAGGAACGATGCTGAAATTGCCAAGGCATTTTCGCTGATTTTACAGCAGTTTAGGAAAAAAATTATGAATCGCAAGTAAATGAAGTTACATATTCAAAAACTTAAGGAAACCTTTACTACATTGACATATTTAGCAATATCATCATCACTAATAAAAGCAGACTGAGAACTGGACGCCATTTCGAAGCTTTGATAGCGCTCCCGGCACTTTAGACAGGAGGAGAGCGATCATGCTCCCCAGCACTCTAGGGGTTAAAACGTGATCCGGGAACAGCAGCATCCAGGGCCTGTAGGAAATGCAGGCCCAGACCCACCACAGCAGAATCCGCATTTTAACAGGAGTCCCAGGTGGCTTGTATGTAAAGTCTGAGAACTCTGGCAAGACCATCAGTAGAGTCCCAGATGCTGGTCAGTTAAATGAATGACTGTAAGAGTTTGTCAGTTTGGAAGAGTGGTCTTCACACAATAGGCATGAGCAGCTCAACCACAGTCACACTCCAGCCCTGAACAGCGGCTATCAGGGCTGCCCCTGCAGAGCACAGTCCGGACTTTAAATACGGTCCTCCTGTGAGCAAAACATTGGCTCCCCCAGACAGCGCCCTGGTTAAAAGGCAGCTTCTGAATTCATGACTTTCTTCCATGTCATCAGCCCAGCCACACACTTCACTGCTCTCCACTCTGCCCCTGCACCAGGACTGTTGTGCGGTGCTCAGAGTATAATCACTCCACCAATGAACCATGAACACAAACTAATAAACATAATTAGAACTGATACACTCGGGTTGCAATTTCCTTTTCCTTCATACCGTCTCCCGCATTAGGAGGGTACCGTGGCGGAACACGGCAATCAACAGCATCCACTCGCTGCATCTGTCCTGCTACATGAAGATGCTAGCTCGGCGGGTCCCTCAAGGGATCAGAATCCTCTCTTGCCCATGTGGAAGTTCAGCAACAGCTCAGCCAGGGAAATGCACTTAGCGTGTCCCGAGGGTTTCCAGGCCCGTAGCTCCTCTTACCGTGGTTGAGAACACCGTCTTCCACCAGGACTTGCCACATGCCCACGGCTTGAGTTCGGGAGTGAACGCAGGGCGTCTGCTGCAGCATCCAGTCCACCAGCTCGGTCCCCACACAGCATTGTCTAAGGGGAGGCGGACACAAAGGACGGGCGGTCACCCCTGGTAGACGAAGATGTCTCTCTTGAGAGGAGACCCCCCGAAGAGCTTACTGCTCTCCCACCATAAGAGGTCTCACTGCAAACACAGCACCACACGGCGTGGCCTCAGGTTCTCAAATTCTTGTACAAACCAATAAAACTACTCAGCTCGCTCGTGAGAGAACCTTCTAAGCGACGCTGCCTAAACAAACAGCATTACAAGTTGCAGCACCAGGGGAGACGGAAGGGCTGCAGACAGGGAGCATTATCTGGCAAGCTAAAGGTCGCAGGGCCAGAAACTCTGCTCCTGCACCTGTCCCAGGAAATCTCAGTGTAAAATGAAGGCAAAGCAGAATCCTGAATTCCTTCACCCGAGCCTGCGAGGAATGAGTTAATGTTTGTGAAGCACTTGGAGATGCTCCGTGAAAGGTGCTGTGTAAGAGCAAAATTATACAGCACTTTATATTTTCAAGTAACATGGCTGATCTTCCTCAGGGGGTGTTGGGAGAAACAAGCAATTAGCGATGCAAACCTCTCAGAAATAAGTTCCATGTAATGAGGATCAGCACTTCTACAGAGCCTGTCGTCTGAAGGGCTCCAAATGCTCTCTGTATAGTCACACATTCGTCCCTATGATGCCCCTCGGAGGCAAATTGGTCAGGATGGGCCAACTACATGCATTAGTTAGGAAACACAGAAGCAGACGCACACACATTAGGAAACACTAAAACCTTCAGTGGGATGATAGAGAAAGGCAGGTGTCCATGGTGTGATGGTACAAGGGAGGAAATGGAATCTTTAAGTCCAAGGTATGAATCCCAAGGGACAGTGGAACAGGCAGGAGTCACAGAGCAGCCGGCTGCCTGCAGCTGGGTCTGAGTCACTGGTGGCCTCCCTCCCCTGCTAAGGATGCCACCAGCCCCGGGGGCACAGGCTGAGCCTGGTCAAGCCCAGGGAGCTCCTCTTTAGTCTCCATGGAGGAGGTTCTCGGTGCCATGGCACCTTAGGAAGAGGCTTAGCCTGGGAGGACCAGGTCTGCGACTTATTAGCTATATGACTGTGGCTATATTGCTTCAACTTTCTGGTTCTCCGTCTCCTCATCTGTAAAAGAAAGGAGGAGAAAAAGATGGCTTCTACGGCCATTTTCAGTTCTAGTATTCTAGGAACTGAACTTTATTAGAGCTCCTGGGGTGTCCTGATTCAAGCCTGACCCTAAAATATTTCACCAGGAGGATGTACTGAGAAGGCTATTAGATCTCCAGGACTCCTCTGATTACACATTGGAGTTGCAATGGGCAAAAAGGCACCTAGTTACTATTCATTCTGAACCAAACAGATGAGCTGTCAAAATATTCCTCTTCTGCCGAAACCAGTTTGGCTCAGTGGATAGAGCATCGGCCTGCGGACTGAGGGGTCACAGGTTTGATTCCGGTCAAGGGCATGTACCTGGGTTTCGGGCACATCCCCAATGGGAGATGTGCGGGAGGCGGCTGATCGATGTTTCTAACTATCTATCTCTCTCCCTTCCTCTCTGTAAAAAATCAATAAAATATATTTAAAAAAATATTCCTCTTCTAATTTGAGAATTTATCAATGAGCAGAGTCTTGTAAAGGTATAGAAAATCAATCTCATGTGGTTTTTTAATTCAATGATTACCTTTACTAAAAGGAACACATGGAATTGAGATGATCCCAGATCACCTGGGCCCTGATACCAGGCATAAGAATCCTGCAGTGAGAATACAGAACAAAGACACCCAGCTGTGCCACTTGTCACTGGGTTTCCTCCTGTTAATGATCCCTATTCACTTTAGAATTGACAGCAGATCACTAGTATAGTGATCATTAGGGATGATACTGCATTTGGAGAGCCGTCAACCCCCTAATACTGCAGCAATGACATAATGGCTATAATGGGGTGAGGAGCAGGAGGGAGGGTGAGGATGGAACTGGAAACAAGATCTGAGACAAGGAACTCAAACTGTGCTGCAGAAAAGAGAAATCATGCCTTTGGCTTCCAGTTGCATCATGGGTCATTACCAACAGATCATTAATTTATGTCACAGGGTGTGGAATAGACATAACACCTATATTTCAGGGGTTTAAAATCTTAGTACTATGGAGCAAGGATGCGATTATAGTTTCTGACTTCTAGTTTCCATTATTTTTCACCAAAGATGACATATTTTAATGGAATTTCCCTAACGCAAGTCAACACTTGGGAAAACAGAATCACATCTTAAATTAAGGGAAAACCTCACAAAATTTTAAAAAGAAAAAGGTCCTTCAGCCATATGAGTTCTTAAAATCCACTTAATGAATGAAAGAGGTTAAGTTCTGTCTGGGTCATATGATCACAATTTCTTTTTAACCTTTACTTCCCTTAAAATTAGAGTAGTGTGTGGGGACCACAGACTCCCAAAGAATGAGCTTCCAGGATTGGAGGAGAGGCTTCCAAATGTCATCCAAAATGGTAAATATCAACAGTAAAAGGTTAGGAACTGAAATTTATTACTGATAAGACTAAAGCGATTCTCAAATTCCATCTCATTTCAAAAATTCTAAATGTAATAAACTATCCATTTTTGTCTTGTAACCATATTGGGATCTAATATAAACGAACAAACAAAACAGAAACAGACTCATAGCTACAGAGAACAGACTGACGGTTGCCAGAGGGAGGGTGGCTGGGGGGCTGGGTGAAAAAGGTGAAGGGATTAAGAACGACAGATGGGTAGTTACAAAACAGTCATGGGGATGTAAAGTACAACATAGGGAATATAGTCACTAATGTAATAACTATGTATGGTGCCAGGTGGGTACTGGAAATATCAAGGGAAACACTGTAAAATAGATGATTGTCTAACCACTATGCCAAACACCTGAAACTAATACAAAATAATATTGAACATAAACTATAATTGAAAATAAAAATAAATGAGTGAATAAATAAAACATTTATGACAAATGCAAGCAGAAGTGTGTTAGTGTATGGAGTGGAGAAAAAGTGATCCAAGGGGAAGAATTTACAATGTTTTCCCATCTCTGTCCCTGGGAAAGAGACTGGATCTTGAGGCTCATACACTCAAAGGTTTTCTATGGGGTGAACCAGGTATAATTTCACAGGTTTTATCAGAGTTGATCGTCACTAGAAAGATACATACCCTTCATGGTGACTTTAAAATGTGTTTTCTAGCTTTTCTCTGTCTTATGAATTTGGTTCATGGGAATCAAATGGGTTTTGACTTGTATCAAGTCTGATGGGTTCTGAGGTCATGTCTCAGCTAAATGGGAAAGTGAGTCTGACCGGCCGCTGGAAGAGGCCTGTGAGTCTGAATGACGGGTGCAGGCAGAGAGCACGAAGGCTTGTGTGCCATGTACAGGCCATCCTAAGTCCTAAACCCTTACTGAGTGGATATAATCAAGAGTAAAAGATTAGACCAGCCGTGGGCAAACTACGGCCCGCGGGCCGGATCCGGCCCGTTTGAAATGAATAAAACTAAAAAAAAAAAAAAAAGACCATACCCTTTTATGTAATGATGTTTACTTTGAATTTATATTAGTTCACACAAACACTCCATCCATGCTTTTGTTCCGGCCCTCCGGTCCAGTTTAAGAACCCATTGTGGCCCTCGAGTCAAAAAGTTTGCCCACCCCTGGATTAGACATAAGTTCTTATTTGACCCACCATGGCTCAGTCAGCCCAAAAGGTTTAACTAAATCCTGCAGCTCTTGTCTTTATTACTTTTTAATTCCAGTGACAGCTACAATGAGTCCTTAATTCTATACAATTACAGCTGTGCCAGTGCTATATAGCTTACTATATGCATAATAGAATAAAATCTATATTTACTTTCTAAGTAAAATCTGTAAAAGACATTGTATATATATTTTTCATTCCTGTATCTGTAGGGCTTGAACACAATAGTGCCTGGGGGCCAGTAGGTGCTTAATAAACTTGTGGAATGAATAAAAGATAGAATGAACAGATCACTGAACCAACCTTGGTTTAAATCTTGACTCTGCCACTCATTAGATTTATGACTTGGACAAGAAAAATTAATCTCTCGGAGCCTCAGTTTTATCACCCGAAAAATGGTCATACACCTACCTAGCACATTAAGGTGAGGATAAAATGAGATAATGTATAGAACATGACCTGGTACAGGGCTTCAAGCATAAATAAATGCTTAGTAAATATTAGTCGAATCTCATCTAAATATAATAGTTTTCCTAAAAGATACTAGTAAACAGAAATATAAAAGTTTTATTCTCTTTGTTTATCACAATTAAACCAATGCCCAAGCAAATTAGTTCAGAAGTAACTGCTGAGAATATTAAGAATAATTAAAGTTATGCGGGATCCAAAACAACTTAGATCTTCCAGAACCGGGAGGATTATAAAACATGCTGCCCATGCAAAACATGTTTCCATTTCACTAAACATGAACCGGAGGGGCTCACAGCCTTTGGAATTACTGCACATACCTGTATGTCTTTAGGTGATATTTTCTATCTCTTATCATGTGAGGTGCCCGAGAGAGAATGGTGTTTCGTAAAATTTTTCCAGCCCTGAGGATCTTCTCTGAAGGGACCTGGGTTGTAATCAGGTGGAAGGAGGGGGAGAGAAAGAGAGTTTATAGGAGCAAAACAAACCAGACAAATCCTTAAATCACTTTCCAATCTGACTCTGGCTTGAAAAATACAACACATTCATACATTCACATTGTTCATGTGTATGACTGCTTTATGTTGAGAACCAAGACACACTGAATATGTATCATCTCTGCAGAATGTTTCTGAGGTTGCCTGATGGGATGCTCTGACATATGGACCACCTCCAGTGGTTACTGATGGCTCATCAACCCACCTACATCCCATTACCTTGGTAATGGTGTTAGCAGGACGAAGAGGAACGTGAGGTTCAATGAGAGGTGTCTGAAAAATAAAATGTTAAAGCAAAAGAAAATTAAACAAAAAGTTCACTAAAGAAAATTATGGGTTGGGGATAAAAACATCCATTTTTATAAAACTCAAAATAGAATTAAAAAACAAAACAAAACACAAGAGCTAAAATCTGCCTACAGAACTTGAATGCACAGGCATTCAAAGGGCAAAATTAGACCATTCAATTTGCCAAAATTTAAATATAAATTTATTAAAAATGAAGGAAACAAACAGGAATGATTAGATGTTTGTATGCTTAACGAGAGGGGAATTGATATCCACTCAAAGCATAAAAACATCAGAGCAGAGGCAAAAGCAAAGCAAGGAAAACATAAATACAGATTAAAATGACCTATCTCAGGGGCTAGGGATAAAGTATTGACTTAGGATGGAAATGAGTGATTCCATCCTCTGTCATGTAGTAAAGATTCTTTTTCTGCGATTTGTATTTTAAGAAAAAAGTCTTAATTTTTAAAATAATACTTCTTGGTGGTTGTATGCATTCAAGTTCCCCACTGGGGCAGCTCGTGTACCTTCCCTTTCATTTTCAAGGTTAGTGTACAGTTTTCAGGATTCTGTGGCTGTCACAACAGCTCCAGGATCTAGATAAAGCTTCTATCCTTACCCACATTCTTCAGATGAAGAAAGCTGAAGAATTGACTTGCCACACACTGAGTCCCCTAGTCCTATTAAAATCCCCTTTACTTCTCGGAAATGTCTCGTAATGGCATTTCCAAAAGGAGGACAGAGATAGATCCAGTGACAGGTGATGGTAGAAACATCAATACCACACTGTTTATGCCACTTCCAGAAGGTAAAAGATGGCAGGCTTATTTATGGGTTGCGGTCAGCAAAGTAATGATTCTCTCAGAAGATGTCATGGCCTCATCCCCAGGGCTTGTGAATATATTAGACTAGATGGCGAAAGGGACTCTATAGAGGTGATTAACTTAAGGATCAAAGTGGGAGATTATCCTCATGTTTCCAGGCGGGTCCAATGTTATCATATGGTCCTTAAAAGGTGGAGGAGGGAGGCAGAAGAGTTAGAACCAGACGATAGCAGAGTCTGTAGGACTCGGCCGGATTCAGCTAGCTTTGAAGATGGAAGAGGCCAAGAGCCAAGGAATGAGGGCAACCTCTAGAAGATGAAAAAAGGAAAAACAATAAATGGATTTCCCCCCAGAGCCTCTGAAGGAACTGACCTGCTGACAACTTGATTTTAGCTCCATGAGACCCATTTCAGACTTCTACACTATAATACCGTAAGGTTATTAATTTGTGTTGTTTTAAGCCAATAAGCTTGCAGCAATTTGTTATAGCACTCACAGAAAACTCATACAGAGATTATTATACTTCACATTAAAAGCCTTACATTTTGCAAACAGAAGCCATTACATTGAAAATAAATTGTTAGGTTTTCACTCTAATCCTTATTTTATATAGGATTATATAAATATAATTGGGGGAAATGAAAATCAATATTAATTTTAAATACTTTATGCATCTAATACAAATAGACATGCATAAACATATACCTATCATTTTATCAATGATAAATTTCAGGTGCATTGATGCTCTTAATATAATAGCATTAAGGAAAAAGTGAAAAGACTCTTAAAGCTTTAAGAACACAATAGATGAGACAGATTTATTTAGCATGACTGAAATCTCACTGAATGTTTTTCATCACCTCTCTGACATCCAGTAGACTTTTTTCCCCTCTTGAAATCACTAGAGTGCAGGTGTCAAGCAATATTATAGTATTTTAGCAGCATACTGTTTACAACCGGCATAGACCAAGGAATGTCAGTCTGGTCCCATTCAATAGCAGCTTTCAACAGAGACCAACTTTGCCCTAAAATAACCCATGCTCCCTTATGATAGACCTTTCAATGGGAGAGGGGCCATGAGCTTACAGAGTCCCTGTGTTTGTACCACCTCCTCCCAGAAGACAGAGAGAATTCTGTGGGGCCAAGTCTGAACAAAATATTCAAAAGTGCCAGACCAGCAGGTACCAGGACTCTGGAACTGTGTGCAGTTAAAAACATGATTGCTTCTGAGCTCTGAGTTCCCAGTACTCATGCCTCCTGCATCTTTACATTACACAGATTGGTTTATACGCCCAGGACTGTGCCTGGTTATATATCCAAGTAGTAGAAGCCTCTGGTTAGTCCTGAAAATAGTAGTAGAAACCTATTTCTTTTTCCTGTCTTGAAAGAAAGAGATGCAGGTAAACGTGAGAGTAGATGGATGTGGGATTAACTGCTGAGGCAATCTTTTCTTTCCTATATAAAAAGCTACTTTCCTTGGCACTAGTCTTTGAGAGACTGGCTGAGATAGAGATTGAGAAGATGCCCACACTTGAGGATTACTGATGGATGTTTATTCTCCAGTAGGTGCAATGAAACATTATTTGAAAATTGCATCTTTTTGTTTGTTTCTACAGAAGTGGCTGTATTTTAACAAAATGCTAAGAAGTGGTCCTTAGGTTAGTTTATTTTGATGGGTAGTTCCCTTTCTGGTCCCTTGGAGTCCTGAAAAGGAAGTATTACAAAAGCAGGGGGAAGCATCAGGCTTCAACCAGAATTGTTCCTTTGATTTGCAGCTTCTAAAAGGGTAAAATGTCCACAAGGTTGTCTTTTAGCTAAATAACCCTAGTTCCAATTCCAGGACCGGGAGGCTATTGAATCTGTTGAAAGGCGGCGTTCTTAGAAACTTCCCTGGCTGGAAAAGTTTTAAGTTTCGGGGCAACATAATGAATGGATGCTTTGAGAAGGCTCAGTCCCTTTATTTAAATAAAACCTCCAAGGAACACATGCAGGGTGAAAGCAGGGGAAGCTTTATTTTGGGGGAATAACAATTTGTCTTTGAAAGGGGACACTGTATTCAGGTAGGCAAGCGCCTATGTTCTAAGAATTATATTGGTTCCCAGCAGCCACCTGTTGTAAGATAGAGGGCATCTGTGACAGGCAGGCCAGGTCCCTGGAAAACAGCCACCTGCTAATGCCTGTTCAGGAACTCCTCGGTCATGAGTGTGACTTTATTGCTTTTGTATTTCCTTTTTTGGTTTCGCCTGGCTTTCAAGTAAAGTTCTTTTGAGAATTTCAGCTTAGCTGTGCTTTAGAGAATGAGGAAAAGAATTTCATTTTATAAATGATTAGGTTAAATGAGACAGGGAAAGAAGTGGCCTGGTGATATTAATGAGAATGAAGACAAGGAAAGCAGCCCTAAAGGCAAGACCAAACATTTCCTGTGGCAGGCCCTTTATTCATCTGGCCTGCACATGTGCCCTGATGCGTGTCATCTCCTTATTTTACTACTTCTCTCATTTTTTATTGAGAAAACCAAGGGCAGAGACACATAGGGACTGAGCTTCCTGCTAATAACTGGGAGTTGAATCCCAGGGACAATGACCCCACCCAACCTGCTCTCTTCTTCTAGAGATGACTTTGCTCACCCTTTGGAAGAATTCGTGTTCTGTCTGACTCAAATTCATTGAGAAAAAAGCATTTAAGCCCTTCTAGGTTGTCAGATAGCAGACTGGATCTTAAAAATTTCCAGCAATAGGGGAAGGAGAGTCAAGATGGCGGTGCAGGTAAATGCGGTACTCACCTCCTCCCACAATCACATCAAAATTTCCCCATGATGCTCTTGGCCCTCTAACACTCACAATTCCATGTCCCCCAGGCACTCTCTGTGTTGGGCTACAGATAGGGAAGGTGGAGAGTGAGCGAGCACAGAGTGAGCCTTCATTAATGTTCTTTGGTTTGTTTCCTAGGGTGGCTCTATGTTCTGACCTACAGCCAGAAAATATATATTACAGATGGGTCCTAGAAAGAAATGGACTCTTCTCCAATTAAATTTCATACATTTCAACACATCAATCATGTGTTGAAAATAAAAATTCTCCCTTCTTACCTAGGCATGAATGAATCCAAATTGGGCTATGAAAATATCATCCTAAAAAGCTAGGCAGAGAGAACAGATAAAGGCAGAGGTATTCAGCTCTCTGCTTTTCTTGGCTTTCTCCACTGAAGACTTCCCTCAGGATTGACCGTAATTGATTTTTGTTTGTTTCTGGAGAGCAGATGCATTCTACTGCTTTTTATTATGTTTCTATTACTACTGAAAAGGAGAAACAATAAGGGAAAATATTCCTTTTGGCACCAGAGCCAATTCAGTAATACTAATCAGGTGGTGAAAAATATGAATTTAGCCTCCATTACAAGATGCACAATAATTCCCCAGTAGATTATAATGAGGTATAAGGCACTGTAATAGGTTTCGTGAAAAACCATATGCAGGTCCTTTTGAAAGCAGGTAATTCTTTTTACTCAAGTACTTGCTCACAGAAGCCTTTTGCAATGCACAGCATTTCAAGCCAAGTGATAAGACTAACAAGCTAGATTGGGACACAAAGCTCATGGCAGAACTCTGGCAACCCAGCGCAATAAAAAGTCATATAAGTCCGCATCCAATTTAATTCAAATATTTAACGAAGGCCTATTGTGTGCAAAGCAATGTGCCAGGCTAAAGTAGAAGACTTTGACAAAGTGCTCGGTCTAAATGAGTTTTTGATCTTGCTGGGAAAGCAAAACTTCTATGGGCTAAATAATTAGTGAGGCAATCTGAGTCAAATGAAAGCAACCACATTCTGGATTTCAAATTTTCTCTTGCTCGTTTCAGGTGAGAACATCTCTAGGAAGTGGGGAGAATAACATTCAATTATTTAATGAAAAGATATACTTTTAGAAATTACATTCCCTTGTTTTGGCATTTTAGAATAATACAACTAAGGTCTTAGCAAAGTATGCCTCAGTCTTGTAATTCATGATCATCAATGTCATCACTCTTTGGTTGACCAGATGAAATGAAAGGAATGACCAAGTCAGACTCATAGACAGATTTCATCACTGTGAAGTAACTTTGTAAGTTTTTCCATTTTTTAAATAATGGAAAAATCATCTACAGACTTCTTCAGCTTCTATGTG